GCTTTTGCTGCTAGCTGAGGAAGCCTCGCGCTAGAGCTGGATGGTGGGGCTGGGGGCCATGGGTAGGGGAGAGGGTTAAGGGTGGGGTAAAACAGAGACTGGGGATGGGGCAGCGCCGCTAGCGGAGGCGTGCTCACGCTATTTCGGCGGCTTGTGGAGGCGCGCGCCAGTGCGTCGCCTGGAGGGTCTGCTGGCCGACGTTCAGAGGATCGGGAGATGTTTGCTGCTGGATCAGGTGCGCGGCCCAGGCTTGCCGAAGGCCTTCTGCTGCGGCCAGATAGTCGGAAGCTTGTTCTTGGTGGCGTGGTAGTTGGATCGGGCCGTGAATAAGGAGCACCGCGGCCCCGGTTTGTTTTGTCCTTTGCTTTGGACGGAGGAGTGTCGATTGGAAGTGGCGCCCCCGCCTGGAGCGAAGCGTAGAGGGCTTGTAGCTCCGCCTTGTTCATACGGTGAGGAGCGAGGATGCCGGCGTTTGAAAGCGCTTGGCGTAACTTTGGCACGGTCCATTTCTCCGTAGCTGGAGCGGAGGAGAGAGCCGAGGCATAGGAGGATGTTGGAGAAGGTGGCTGACGCCTGGAAGGTGAGGGTGAAGGAGAATCTCGGCATCTGAAGGTATGAGAGGCGGCGATGCGGGAAGGCCTGCGGCCCCGAGGTGCAGCCGCGGGCTCAGTTGGGGTGTCCAGCGGAGCACTGGCGTGCTGAACGTCAGCTGTAGATGCGGGAGGAGCTGTACTGTCGAAGGTGTTTTCCTCAGGGAACAATTCCGTCTCGGACATCATGCGGCGATTGGATGTACCAATGCTGAAAGTCGAGAGATAACGAAGGTAGGGCGTACTTGGTTATTTATGGGAGTTTTATCTTGCGCCGATTGGATACATGGTGTAGTCACTAATGATGAACTGGCCGTGTTAATTATCCGTGCATGCTCCTCCCGAAATTTGTTTGTAAACATCACATTGTTGTTGTCACCACCGCCATGTTGTGAAGGCGCTGTGTGTTTCGTTGTGAAAGCGAAACTACTTTGTTTGGTCTTCCAAAAGAGGATGATGTCTGTTTCGTCATGCCTGGAGCTGATCCGTGCTGGTCGCTGAGGAAATACAACAACTTTGCACTGTGGATCGCCGGATCGGCTTTCACTGTGGACGAAGCGGAGTCCAGCCTGGGGTCGTCACATGTGGTTGCCGCAAGCCCTCCGGAAGCTCCTTTGTCGAATCCGCCGGCCGCGTCGTTCTCAAGCCCGCCGCCTCTGCTCACTGCACCAAATACACAAAATAATGTTCTTTTTAGCAACATCATATGACCCCTTTAAGATAAGATTTAGTATTATTGGATGAATTATTAAATTTTGATCTAATATATTTGCAATCATTAACAATCCAGAAGTTAATTTTTTAGGTTATTTCCTCTGTCATTTGAACAGTTCTTTGAAATGCATTGTAGCAGCACACATCGACTTTATTGTTTTGTACTGCACTTTGCACCTTGTTATGTGACTCTCTGGAATCTTGGATTCTTATTGGTCAATTTTAGCATTCTGTGGTTAAATATGTTTGCAGAATAATGACTAAACTGTATAACTGGCCATTGTCTCATTCAGGGAATTTCCTAAATAGCTGACGCTAGTTGTCATATTTTTGATGGTTCATGCCTAGTATCACTTTTTTTCCCACACATCCCATCACATCGGTGTTTCATGTCCATTTATTTATTTATTTGCTAAAAAGTGAAATTATGTTTAAAATAAACCCCTTTAGTGTGATCAAAATCCTCTCTGCTTTGTGTCGGGGCCCTGATCGCCCTTTCAGGGATTATTTGGCCTCACAAACTGTAAATTATTCCTTACATAAGTAGTGCTACACTTTATTTATTGTTTACTTTGTGTTTTATATGCACGAGGTTGTTGTTTGCTGTAGGGCTATGCTGAGTCTTGTGGTGGATCGCTGAATGTGTCAGCATGTTAGAGTTCCTGTTACTGTTTACAGGAACCTCTTGAATTTTAGATTTTTTCAAATCTTTTGCAATTGATAATATGACACATGGTCCTATAGGATATATGAAGTATTGAAAGAATAATAATGAAAAAAACACACTGTCATAGCCTACAAATATTTTAGATTTTAACAATGTTTAAAAAAATATTTTTTTTGTTAACTTTCACAGAGCTTCACTCAAGGGGTAACATACAAACAAAACAAACAGTTTTTAATCAAATCCAAAATATAATTTAATATGATTGAATCAACCTGACTATACTAGGTTTCACTAATAAATGTAAGTTTATACTTTTTACAGTGTTGCATATACAGATTTGCAAGCTACAAAGTGTGTGGGACCTATTCTATTCTTCTTTCCATTGTACTAACAGTGTCAATAACCAACCTTGACTACCCAGTAAAGCAAAGATATATGACGTTTTATAGTTATGAAATGGCACCAGAACTCAAGCTATTGCAGTACTGAAGGCCACTTCAGTGTTTGCTATTTATCATCTTTAATTGTGATTTCTGCAGGAAGCAGGAAAACATGGGGTTTACTACACACACAGTGTGTGTGCTCCTGTGTTTTTTGGTCTCAGGGTGTGGGACCTATTCTATTCTTCTTTCCATTGTACTAACAGTGTCAATAACCAACCTTGACTACCCAATAAAGCAAAGATATATGATGTTATATAGTTATGAAATGGCACCAGAACTCAAGCTATTGCAGTACTGAAGGCCACTTCAGTGTTTGCTATTTATCATCTTTAATTGTGATTTCTGCAGGAAGCAGGAAAACATGGGGTTTACCACACACACAGTGTGTGTGCTCCTGTGTGTTTTGGTCTCAGGATCATGCTACACACTCCAGACTGTGGGCCAATGTACGGTCAACAGAGAGATGGTGAGGAAAAACAACACACTCTGGCCTCTTTTGTTCCCTGAGCCAGAGCAAGTGCTGCTACATCAGGAATATCCTGTTTGTAGGCATTTGTTTCCTGTTTTTGGTGACAGAAGTTTAACCAGTCTCTTAATGGTTTACATCGTGAGAAAATGCATTTCTTGTTTCATGTTTAAAACCGCAAGTGGGTAAGCCATTTTTAAAATGTTTTTAAATCTTAAATGAACAGGGCAAAATTATAGTGTATGTAAATGCATGTTTTTTTCTGATTCCATATGTAAGTTTCATATCCATATACCTCTTTATTCTTTCAGGCTTCATTTGACTGCAGTGGGAAAAGACTTACATCGGTACCAAAGCACATCTGGATGAACGTAACCGAACTGGACCTGTCTGAAAATCTGTTAGACTTAACCCACCCTGACAGCTTCAAGCGCCTGAACCTCTTCAGCCATTTAGTCTCACTGAACCTATCAGGCAACTACCTCCCCCTACTGTTAAAAGACCATCTCTACAGCCTTTCTTCTCTTAAAGTACTTGACCTAAGTAGGTGTAAACTGGCCGCAGTGGAGGCAAACGCTCTGACCAGCCTTTCCAGCTTACAGATGCTCTTCCTGGGGGACATTCAGTCGATTGCAGTTAAAGACCTGAGATTGAGTCAGTTTGTGGAACTTAGAGGAGAACAGAGTAACAGACAGAAAGTGGGAGACAGAGTAATGATGACCAGAGCAGCTAAACGCATGGCACGCGATGACCACAGTGATGGTATGAATACTTTGATCGAATCTGTATTAGATTTAGTTCATTACTTGGATTAGTGGCGTATATGTCGGGGTGAAAAAGATAAATATTTTACAAATCTAGTTTGCATCCCTTAGAAATGTTCTCTTTGGTTTCATGTTGGTTTCATATGGATTTGAAAAACTGTTAGATAATTTAAAGACAAGTTTTATTTCAATGACATAAAAAATGTCATGTGGTGTAGCCATCAAATAAAAAGTAATAAAATAATTTCCTTACACCTTAAATGCAAGTGTACGCATCTTAATCATTGTTTTAAAAACATTTTTAAATACTGAATTATTGTTATTATTATGAACTTTTAATTCAGAAGTGACATGGTCACATATCATTTCCTGTTTTTTTTCTTTACATAACTCAACAAAAGTTTGTCATACTGTATATTATTAAGCAGCGTATCAGTTTTCATTTATTTATTTATGCTTTGAATAAATAATAGCCTACGAACCACTTTTTCATAGTTCATAAAAACAAGCTTGACTTTCACTTTTCATAAAAAACAAGCTTGAAATGTTTGACTTTAAGCCCCCTCCAAAATAATAATAATTAAATTCATTTTAATACAGAAATAAAAAGCCTGTGTATAATAATTCAAGTCATTGTATGAGTAAATTGCATTTTTTATGTATGTTGGACTAAAATTAGATGAGGACTAGTTCTTTCAGCCATTTCTTAGTGACATTAATTTTCTCTGCATTAATTATATTTATATGGAAAATAAGATATTTGAGTGCCACAACATCATCTTTTTTTGAGATATGGAAATTGACATACTATAATTTCAATGTCATTTGTTTTTCTCATGGCAGGATATTCTAAGGATGTCAACCATGGAGCCTTCCTTCGTAAACTATTCACAGTGGAACCTACAAACAATACAACTAATGGTCAAAACCTTTTTTCCCCTGTAATCTAGTGTAGATTATTACCTGTGATTACATCTGAGACTGGCTAACCATTCTAAATAACCTTTTTAGGCATAGAACCAGATGATGATAACAAAATGTCTTCAGAAAGCTGGAAGGTCCTTGTGGCTGTTCTGGGGTCAGCTCTCACCCTCTCTGTCCTTATCGCTTTGATGGCCAAATACAAAGTCGTGCACGAGTATCTGGCAAGCTACAGACACTCCAGGCTCAGTGAAGTAGATACCACGAGTCAGTGTGACCCTGCAAACTTTGAGGTGGGATTCTCGACCCAGGGTGGCCCTGGGACTCGTGCAGCTGCACCTACCAGTGGCATTGAGGAGGATGACGATGGGTTTATTGAAGATAACTATATTCAAGCGAGTGAGAGTGAAAGAGCCACAAGAGCAGCAGTGATGACTGATGATGATGACGAGGAGGAAGACATTGAATTTAGTATTGGCTAGCACTATTAAGTCTAATGTTGTTAAATCTTATTTATAATAACTTGCATTAAGTAGTCAGTAACAAACATTCAATACTCCATAATCAGTTATCAAACTATTCTTTGATTAATTCATTGAAAAAAAAAAGAATATACTGTGGCACTATTAAGGAATTTGAACTCTTAAGCAATAAAAAAAAAACAAAAAAAAAACTGTAATATTGTCAATGAAAAATGTATATATTTTGGCATAGATGTCCAAATAGTTTCCACTTTTTTGAAAGCATCTGAAAATATATGAATCAACGTTGAATGACATTTGAATGTACAGTAGGCCACATGCAATAATCTGTTTAACATTTTATACAATGTTTGTTAACGTTATTAATGAGTTATTTTAAAACTTTATTTTAAATGATAATATTAATAATCATGAACTTTTAAGGATTTTTCCTTCCAGAATGTTCATTTACATTGGCCTTTAATTGCATTCTGTACTATATATATTTTGTCGGTAACACTTTACAATAAGGTTCATTAGTTAACTACTTTAGTTAACATGAACTAAGCATGAACAATACTTCTACTATTATTAATCTTAGTTAATGTTAATTTCAACATTTACTAATGCATTATTAAAATCAAAAGTTGTGCTTGCTAACATTAGTTAATGCGCTGTGAATTAACATGAACTAACAATGAACAACTGTATTTTCATTAACTAACATTAACAAAGATTAATAAATACTGTAATAAATGTATTGTTCATTATTTGTTCATGTTAGTTAATACATTAACTAATGGAACCTTATTGTAAAGTGTTACCATTTTGTCTTTTGTATGTTGCACTTCATTTCTATTTTTGTTGTTGTTGAGAAAACATTATTCTTTCATTGGCCACTGGGCGTCGCCTTTGTGTACTTTATTACTTAGCCTAGAATTAAATATTACAATTGAATTATTGATATTATTATATATTTTTGTTATTGTTTATAAATGTTATATAATATAACACCAATGAAACATTACATGGCATTCACGTCATCCTAAACGAATGCCGTGTTAGTAGTTTTTTGTTGTTGTATCTATTTAATAAAGGATTGTCACCTGAAAGTAGTTGAAGTTAAGTCACACTGCTTTTACATTGCAACAAAGCGACGCGACGAAACAGCGCAGATCGCTTGGCCAATTATAATGGCAGCGTTGTAGTTTTGACGCGTCGCGTCTCTCGCAGTTTACAGCACAGCAACAAGCTCGAGCTGCACAACCGGTTAGACGCCTCCAAACCCGGAAGACGCGCGTGTAAGGGATGGGAAAGATCTCTCTTCATTTCTTTTGATCAAACTTTATTATAATTCACAAAACGTGGACTCCTGTCAGTCACTTCTGGTCACACAACAGCTTTGATAAGGATGGCAGCGTCCGCGATCTTCATCCTGGACCTTAAAGGCAAGGTAAGAGCGCGTGCACCTGTCAGCGAAAGGTCGTCTAGTTTATACTCTCAGGACTGACAGTGACACTTTATTTGAAACCTATATAGCTACAGATAATCGAGGTTTAAAATAATTTGGCGAAGGATATTGTACGTATGTACTCACTTGAAGGTTTCTAAAACAACTAATGATGACACCCTACCCATCACACTCTTAAAGTTAACAGCACTTCCACTGAAGGCAATTGCAATATTAATGTTAATGTTTCACATATTGTATGCTTCTATATTTAAGTGGTGGTGCAATAACACAATATATATTTAAAAGTTATTTTTGTTAAGAAAAACGACATTTTGTGGACATGGTAAATGATAAAAAAAATGTTTTCATGTTTTTGAAAGAAGTCTCTTATGCTCACCAAGGCTACATTTATTTGATAAAAATACAGTAAAATAGTGAAATATTATTACAATTAAAAATTGCTGTTCTATATTTTAATATATTTTAAAGTGTAATTTATTCCTGTGATGGCAAAGCTGAGTTTCTTCAGTGTCACATGATCCTTCAGATTTCATTCATCATTCATTTCTTATTATTGTCAATGTTGAAACAAAGGGCTGCTTAATTTTTTTGTGGAAACTGATCTTTTTTTTCTTTGATGTATAGAAAGTTCAAAAGAGCATTCATTTGAAATCGAAATCTTTTGTAACAATATAAATGTCTTTATAGCCACTTTTCAGTCAATTTAATGCATTCTTTCTGAATAAAAGTATACATTTCTTTCTTTTTCTTTTTTTAAACCTTACTTACCCCAAACATTTGAATGATAGTGTATCACAGTTTCCACAAAAATATTAAACACCAAAAATAATAATTAATGAAATATAATAAGAAGAAATATTTCTTGAGCGCCAAATAATACCGGAATAAATTCTGAAGGATCATGTGACACTGAAGAACGGAGTAATGGCTGCTGAAAATTCAGCTCTGCCATCACAGGAATAATTTACATGTTACAATATATTAAAATGAAAAACAGTCATTCTAAATTGTAATAATATTTCACAATATCACTGTTATTTTATTTTTGATTAAATAAATGCAGCCTTGGTTAGACTTTCAAAAACAATAAAAAAAAATAATAATTATATCAAAAGATATAGTGTATATATAAAGAAAAGCTCTGAACTCATTTGTAAGATGTTGAAAGTAGTAGTGGGTGCATGGGAGTTTTTCCATGAAAACAGAGCCTCGGGGTCTCAGTGGAATGGATTATCCTTCAATATACCCCTGGATTTTGGCAGTGCTGATGAAAGCGGTCTTGTCTGTGCCCTAGAGCAATCCAATATCTCCATCTGAAGGAATACCTCAACACCAGCCATGTTAAAGTCAGACTTCACTGATCTTTAAGTTTTACCCTACTATACACCTTGAATGCATCAGTCAGTGAAAAAAGTGACCAGGACTTGAAGCATTTGATTGTATGTTGGATTGATCAGTAGAAGTATTAGTGTAGATATTGTTTCATAGATCATATTGATTGAGCTGTTAACATATTCTCAGGCTGATTTGAGTCAGTGCAAACAGACCTTGTGCTGTAAGTGTCCTTTTGGCCTGAGAAATCATTACAAGTGTTTACTGCTTTTGAGGCCGTAAGGAATCCATTTTGCATGATGGCTGGTGCCAAAACATCTTTAAGAAAAATAAAAGATTCTTTCTATTTGCTTAGAGAACCTCAAGGTTTTCCAGAGTTTTTAAATGAGCTCTTGTTTGTTGTGTTAATATAGCCAAAAAGAACATGTCTTTATATGGATTGCACTCAGATAAACTAGTGATGCCGTGATGACTGTCTTTAAGGAGCAGAATTGGGATACTCTGTTTTATGACATCCTTGTGCTTTCAACTTTGTTTCCATCTCTAAGGTGCTCATATGTCGAAACTACATGGGCAATGTGGACATAAGTGAGATCGACAACTTTATGCCCATAATGATGAAGAGAGAGGAAGATGCCGATTTGTCACCAGTGGTTATTCACGGCTCTACCCACTACCTCTGGATAAAGCATAGCAACCTCTACTGTATCCTCTATCTTCTTATATTTAAATGTAAAAGTATAACCTTTATTTGTCTATATTAAAATTTCATTTTATTTGTGAGTATTTGTCCTATTGTTGTACAGTAACAGCTCTGCAAATGTGTAGCATATTTACTACTTAACAGATTTTACTCAGTGGTTGCAATAACAAAGAGGAATACCAATGCTGCTCTTGTATACTCCTTCCTGTACAAATTAGTGGAGGTAAGTGTGTTTTATATCTATCAACATGACAACACCTTCCATAAAACCTTACACAGCACAATCTTGTTGCCTGTGTAAACATCAACACCCTAAAAATGTGCCGTAGCACATTTCCTCATTATAATATTACGAAATTTGTGTACATTTAAAATAGTAGTCTTGTATTAACCATTTGCTTGCAGGTGTTCATTGAATATTTCAAGTCACTGGAAGAAGAGAGTATTCGAGACAATTTTGTGACCGTATATGAGCTAATGGAAGAAGTCATGGACTTTGGATTCCCTCAGACCACTGACAGCAAGATCTTACTAGAGTAAGTTCTGACGACTTACCATTCAGCCATCACTGCTCAGAGAACACTATTCATCCCTCACTAACAGTGCTATTAGGGGTTTATTATTCCCTACTCAAGCTCATTCCTATTCATAAGTCAGTGTATATGCTTTGTGCAGAGGGCACAGTTTGGCAAAATGCAGTTATTTGTGTTTTATAATACTCATAGAGATGACTGGACCAGATAAATCAATATACTGTAGTATCTAAGCATAAAGAAACATTTTTTTAAGTCAAATTTGTGGACAATTCTTACAGATTAATTTGAAAATTCATACTGAAGAGGAATAACTGAAATGTTTATTGCTGATATATCCCTTTCAGCAGATGACTTCACTTCCTGGTAATTTACCTATTTAGGAGATTAAACAATATCCAAAATGGTCATTTAGCTAATTAAAAATGTTTACCCTTAAAGAAATGAAAAGTACTATTTACAAAACATAAACAAGTAGAACATTCTAACTAAAGAATATAACAACAGCACACTAAACAATTTCTTGTCAGGCAAATGTTAAAAAGAAAAAAAAAATAGTACAATCATATGTAAGTCAGTTTAAAAAAATCTTTCATGTTTATACGTTCTTCTCAGTTTGCTGGCTTTGCTAGCAGCCACTTAGCAGTGGTTTGTTTTGGTGCATTTACGCAGATGCTAATGTTCATCAGGGATGATTGAACACTAACTCTATTACAGGGTTCCTCAAATCTTGCCCTGGAGGGGTTTGCTCCAACCCAGATCAAACTCACCTACCTGTGATTTTCTAATGATCCTGAAGACACTGATTAGCATGCTCAGGTGTGTTTGATTAGGGTTAGAGCTAAACTCTGCAGGAAAGTGGATCTCGTGGACCAGATTTGAGGATCCCTGCTCTATTATGTGTGTAATGTTAGTGTTCACATTCATTTCCATTTGAATTTTCATGTGTAATAGATGAAAGACGCGTGGTAAGGTAAACATTACATTAGAACGTTGGCAATACAAAAAAAGAAAAACCAGGTTAGGTGTTTGTCAGCCTGTCTGTCCCAAGGGGCAGCCATGTTCTTCCCATGAGTTCTAATAAGCAGCAGAGGTCTGTTTACACACTCACTGAAGTTACTTGCTTCACTGACTAGTGACAAATAATGATGCTCATCATATTGATAATGGCTGACATGCATTGGTGGGCTCATATAATATTTAGTCTTTTTTTATGCTAATTGTCATTTTCTTGGTCATTATTTATGTTAGCATGTCCTGATTGCCTTCTTTCACTTCCACACCAGGTACATCACCCAACAGGGGCATAAACTGGAGGTGGGAGCGCCACGGCCCCCAGCTACAGTAACCAATGCTGTGTCTTGGAGGTCAGAAGGCATCAAATATAGAAAAAATGAAGTCTTCATGGATGTCATTGAGTCTGTCAATCTATTGGTGAGCTGACTTAAATGTATTGTAGCGACAATGTATTGTGTCCTCAGTCAACCAATCCGATTTTTGGATATGGGTTAGGGTTGGGGCTTCAACATCATTCTTTTTAACCTATGATTTCCTTATGACCTTTGGGGTTTTTAATAGTTTTTAGAGGTTTTAGGACCAACAAAAGATGTTAATTCAGGAATACATTCTCATTGGTAAAATCACAGTCATCATAGAAGTGCCTCATATTAATTTTAATTATTATATATGCATATGTGCAATGAATTACTCTTGACCCATTATCAAATTTCAGTGCATGAAATTTATTTATACACTAGCGTTCAAACGTTTGGGGTCAATACACATTTAAAATGTTTTATATTTTATTCAGCAAGGATGATGCATTAAATTGATCAAAATTGACAGTATATTGTTTCAAATGATTTCTATCAAAGATTTTTAGATTAACAATAAATAAATTCAGTTCTTTTGAACATTCTACTCCTTAAAGAGTCCTGAAAAAATGGTCACAGTTTCCACAAAAATATTAAGCAGCACATTTTGTTTTTTTAAGATTAATAATAATAATAAAAAATGTTTCTTGAGTACCAAATCAGCATAATAGAATGACTTCTGAAGGATCATGTGACACTGAAGACTGGAGTAATGGATACTGAAAATTTAGCTAGGCCATCACAGGAATAAATTACATTTTCAAATATACTAAAATTGAAAGCAGTTTTAAATATTCCTGTTTTGTATAATACTATTTCACAATATTACTGTTTTTACTGTATTTTTGATCATGTAAATGCAAAGAAAAAATAACAGTTTTAACTAAATAAATTGCAATAAATAAAAATGGCATAACATACATTACTTATTTGACGAAAGTAAAAGTAACCTATATTGTAGCGCAATTTAAAACTGAGCACATTACTTTTTCTTGTTGTGGAAAAAAAAAGCTTTCCACATACTGGATCGGTTTTACGTATTCAGTGCAGACATCAAACAGCAAACGCTATCGCTCCATCATCCTACTGTACCTCAGTCGACCTCCTTCATGTTCTCCAGGGTCACGGGTTAGGTCTCCAGACTTCCTTGGATTGAGAGAGGGAGGAAGCAGCTGCCGTCTTTAAGGTCTTGTTGCCTTTCTTTTCTGCTTCTTAACTCTGAGCCCCCCGAATGGACTGGCTTTTGATGGATTCATTAGAGCTCCTCAGGGTCGGGGGGTCTAAACACTGGCAGACAGTAGCGCTGAGCAACACCACTCTTCTGATTAAGAGCTAAATCACGTCTCATTGCTTTCTAATTCTGCATTGCTATTCATCCGTGCAGCTTTCTCGCTCTGGCTTTTTCTGGCTCTTGTATCTGAGAGCCCTCAGAGGTATTGAATCGATGTGGACTTTTTGAGGTTTAGATCTACCTTCTGAGTCCAGCTTGTATGCTTTTAATATTTTACCATAATATAATATATATTACATTCTCATATCCGTAGTTATCGCAGCATATTCAGCCCTCTCTTTCCAAGAGCATTATGGCACAAATCACACGGTTACTGCCTTGCCCGACAGAGCGTAATAAATTGTAGATGGCAGTAATGGTGATGATGCAATATCGCACCTTGCCACTCTTGATTGTGCTTTGCATTTATCTTCTCTGTTTTTGTTCGTTATAGGTCAGTGCTACAGGCAGTGTCCTGCGTAGCGAGATTCTGGGCTGCATCAAAATCAATGTCGTTCTGTCAGGCATGCCTGAGTTAAGGCTCGGACTCAATGACAAAGTTCTCTTCGAGATCACAGGCCGTGAGTATACCTATCCATCTTTAAAACTGAAAGATATAATTTTTTGACTTAACATTTTTCTCACAATTTCATATAAAGAGACAACTATGCAGTAAGTTAACCATTTGTAGGTTGATCTCCACTCTGTGGCAGTAGCAACAATATAGTGAGCTGTTTATCTGATCAGTGGCATATAAAAAAAACTGTTTCAGTCTGTTTTTAATGGTTTTAAAGAATTACAAATACAGCCAGGGTACATTAGAATAAACAACAAATAATAATTGTAAAGACAGAAAGAAGATCAAAAGATAGAAATAAAGTTAAAAACATTAACATGTTTACCAATAATAACAAATCTTACAGCTTTCATATTTTTCAAACATTTTCAAAATTGCTTTTAGGTATTGTTGAACTTCTGTCTTTAAAATTAAAAGCAATGGCTTAGTCCCCCATATGTACATTTTAAAGTAGCAGATTAATTAAATACTGTTTCTTATGATAAGACTTGTCATAGAGGGGAAAAAACTGTTAAAAGCTGGGCATGATGTGATCCTTAATAAATGAACAGAAATCTGACCAATAACTCCAAAACAAAAACATGTTTTTACATGTAAACCACAAAACGTATCAATATCACAATTAAATCTGTTTACAAGAAGATTGCAAGGTTAATATTTACCATTTTTCCTGTCATTATTTTTCCATTTCCTTTCAGTGAAACGAATGGCTTCCAAAATGCCCCGTTTCCACTTTAAAATGACCTTGTTGTTTTTTAGTTTTTTAAAGTAGTGCAGAAAGTGACTTAATTTCGAGGGCTGCTAGTCAAGCAGTCAGTCGATTGTCCTAACCTATTTTATAGTAAGCATCTCTCTCATTTGCACTTGTTAGGTGAATTCCATTAATCTGATTCTCTTGGTTAATCCTCACCCCAGGCCTAACCCAGCGGGTGTTAGTTTCACAGCAGGCCAGATCTCAGTTATGTATTCTGCATGTGTGGTATAAATGCAGCTTGCATTTTAGAACAGAAGTGCTCTGGATTTACTCTACAACAGAAAGTTAATTGAGCGATGCTCTTCTGTTCAAATAAATACATATCAATTTGATCCTATGGTGCAGTAGCTGTTGACCTCACCAACATTTCATGGACATTACAAGCTACCCTTTCATTTTACTTCTACAGGAAACTGTTTTATCAGATAGGGTTTCGGGGAAGTGAAAAAGACCTGGTTGTTTCCTGCACCACTTCCCACTTTAAAGCTGAACTATGGTGCAAGCTATTGTAAACACAAGTGAAGATAGAAGGTGCCATTCTGTTATTGCATCAGTTGCAGAAATATTTCTTCTCAGCTCAGCAATGGAATAAGAATTAAACAAGAGAAACACTGCCCTCCACAGGCTCAAGATTGGAACTGCAAGTTTTTTGTATTATTATTATTATTTATTATTTATTAAGATTCAATTATCGGACGTTAAGAGGACAACAGAAATAAACTTTTCTGTAATAATGTTAATGTTGATATGACACACATTTTCACATTATAAAGTGATCAGTTACATTTTATTTTCATTTATTTATTCATTTTAACCCTGTGATGTATGAAGTTTTAAATCACAAATGGAAAATTTGTGGAGTATTTTAATGTTATTTTAGAATTATTTATATACTATTATAATATTTATTACGTTTTGAATTAGCAGTGGTTTTGATATTTTCAGTTTCAGTCATTTTAGTTAAAGTTTTACCAATTTTGTTCTTTGGTCTTTTTTTCATAAAATATTTTATTTAGCTTTTTTTTCAGTTTTATTTTTAATAATTTTAGTAATTTAACTTCAACTTATTATATTTAATTAGCTCCCAAGTCAACATTCTATTTTTTTTATCTAATATA